TGGGCTTCTCTGTGTAGCTTTGGAACCTGTCTTGGAACTGGCTTTGTAAACTGGGCTGGCCTCAAACTCACAGAAATCAACCTGCCTCTGCCTCCCAAGTGCTGGGACTAAAGGCGTGTGCCACCACCACTCTGCCATTTTGTAATCTTTGTTATGTTTATTCTGAGTATTGTGGGCGCATTAGTCTGCAATTGTCACAGAGCTTTAGGGCTAGGTAACCATACTTGTTGTCAATCCTGATGACCTGAGGTCAATCCCCAGAACCCACATGGGTGAGTGAGAGAATGGATTCCCAAAAGTTACCCTTTGACCTCTATGTATGCTCTATGACATGTGAGCACTTGTACGTGTGCATGTGTGTGACAGGGTCTGGTGTAGTGTAGGCTAGCCTTGAACTGGCTACACAGCTAAGCTTGGGATGGACTTCTGATCCTCTTGTCTCTACCTTCCGAGTCCTGGGATTCCAGGTGTATGCCAGCATGCCCAGTTTGTGCAGTGCTGGGGATTGAACCCAGGGCTTCATGCATATTAGACAAATACTCTACCAACTGCTCCACATCCCTAGACACTCCTGTTCTTCAGCTGTCAACTTGACATAACCTAGAATCATCTGGGAGAAGTCTCAATTGAAGGATTACCCAGATTAGATTGGCCTGTGGCCATGTCCATTAGGAATTATCTTGATTGATGGCTGACGTGGGAAGCCCAGCTTACCATGGGAGACACCATCACTGTGCAGGTGGGCCTGAGCTAAATAAGTCAGCTGAGCATGGGTCAGAGAGTGAGTCAGTAGACAGCCTTCCTCCAAGATTCCTGCTTGAGTTCCTGCTCTGACTTCCTTCTGATGGATTGTGACCTGGAAGTGTAAGCAAATAAACCTTCCTGTCCCCAAGTTGAATCTCTTGGGATACAACCCAGATCTGAGAGCCAAGGTCACCCCAAGTCAAGGCTGAGACTGAGTGCCATTGATATAAGCCAGTGTCCTCATAGTCAGGTACCCAGGCCAATAAGTCCATGCATGTCCAGTGCACTACCACACTCAAGATACTCAGGAGTAGGGCTACAGTCTGTTTTAGTGGTCCCTGAGAGGATTCAGAGCCTGCTAAAGTGTGAGAAGCAGGATCTAGAGGCCTCAGTCCTTGGTCCCAGTGTGACAACAGCAGGGGACACATCCTGCGTGCTAAGCACCACACCCCGCTCTATCAGGCTGCTTTGGGTGGCTCCTTGTATTCAGACCCCAGAGCAACCCACTATCAGTCACATTGCCTCCATTTTCTTGCTGATGACTGGAGTCCCCAGAACTGTCCAGGGCTGCCTGAGGTCAGGTTCCTCTAAGCTTGGCTTGAGTGAGGACAGTGTTGTCTGTTTCAGGCCCAAAGCTCTGTCTTTTGTGGATCTAAGAGAGTCCTAGGTAGGGAGAAGCACCAGGGGACACACAGAATGATGTTCTGAGGTGGTCTCTGGGCCATGTCGTTTTATCTTCTGTTCTGTCTGTTTGGTATTTGTGGGAGAATTTGTGAGAACATGGGTATAAGTATGTTAGAATGTCACCCTCATACCAATACACACACACACACACACACACACACACACACACACACACACACACTGCCAGGAAGCCCCAGGGGTGTCTGTCCTCCTGCACAATGCCTGCTCTTCCATGTCCAGCTGGAAATGCCAGTGCTGTACTGAGCACCAGTTCCTGCTTGGAGCAGGAACCTCCTCTGCTCTCAAAGGCTCCATTTTGAAAGGCATGGGCTCTGCCAGGCTGGAAACGCTGGCAGAATTGATGGATTGGGGACCAAGATGTAAAAAGCCAAGCTCCAGAGGAGAGGGGAACAGTATATACTACAAACAGAACCATGCATGCTTTTTTTTTTTTAAGTCAGAATCCCAGGCTGACTTCAAACCCAAGGATGGCTTTGAACTTCTGATCCTCCTGTCTCCACCTCCCTAATACTGAGATTACAGGTGCATGCCCAGTTTATGGGGTGCTGGGGATTGAACTTGGGGTTTTATGCCTGCTAGGCAAATACTCTACCAACTGAGCCACATCCACAGCCCTGCCATCAATTTCATCCTCACTGTGCCCCAGACATCTTATTGACATCATGCCGTTCTTTTTTTTTTTTTTTTTTTTTTTTTTTTTTTTAAAAAAAAATTTTCTGCTTCAGAGAGGCCTGCATACCTGCTCGAGATTACATGTCTGGAAAAGGTCAGGGTGGAGTATGGAGGCTCCAAGAGAGAAAGTGGCTTGGGGTCACCACGTGTGCAAGGTGGAGCTGGGATTTGAACTCAGGTCTCTGCTCTTGGAGTCTATTCTTTGTGCATTCTTCTTTCCAGGTTCTGCAGTGAATCAGACACAACGAGGGTGTGTGACAAGACAGACATGGGTGGCCAGGGGAGAAAAGGGATGATTCTGCCTGTAGGGTCAGGATACAAGGCATGAGTGACAGCCAGGGGTGCTCTAGGGAAGGGGCGGGGCAGGCCAGAGAAGGGAAGGGAAGAGAAAGGCATACAGGCGTGAAATGGGGTGCCACATTCTGGTGCTTTATGGCTGGCCCACTGAGCAGGAAGATGACCTCCATTTCTCCCTGCCCCCACCCAGGCTGGTTCAGAATGCTTTACTGTCCTCACCCCTCCACCCCCTGTAGGCTCCTGAGATATGGACAAGAAAGGAGCTTGTCTTTCCTGGCTCTGCTGGAGTCCTGCCTCGGAGGTTTGGTTACCATGGTGACAGGCTCCATGGAAACCCTCAGCTGGCCTTTTCCAGGATGGGCCTGGACCCGAGCCCACCTGCTGATGCTTTGCCTCTGCGGCCTTGGCATCTGGGGAGATGTGTGGGTGGTCATTCTGGAGTTTACTTGCATCCGCACGTTTACCTTGGCAGGAACGGAGAATCCTAAGAGTCAAAAAGAGTCCTAAGGTGGCGATCCTGGCATAAAGGGTACCAGTGGGTGGACTTAGGATTCCACATCAAAACCAGGCACAGAAACTAAAATTCTCATGTGGAGATAAACTAGGGGCATGTCTGTCTGTGGCTACTGGTTGGTGGCCTGCCATACTGTTCCACGTCTGGTCTGGGTCTATTTCTCCCCACCCCGTTTCTCTCTGAGTTCTGCTCCAGCCAGCCTGTCATCTGTCCCAAACCCCTGTACTCAGTTTCTAGGCAGCTAAGGGACTACTTTAGTACTGAGGTGGGGGACCTTGTGCATGTCACTCCTTTTTCCTGAGTCACAGTCTTCCCCCACACCCCACACCCCTCTCTCCCCATCTTTCTCCAAGACAGGGTCTTATCATGTAGCTCAGGCTGGCTTCAAACCCAAGATCCTCCTGCCTTGGCCTCCTGAGTGCTGGGATTACAGGTGTGTGACACCATGCTAGGTC